ATGCGGAATGGAACAAACACTCAGCCACAATAGATATGTATCAAGAACCTTAATTCGCAACTCGCCTGCGTTTATCCATCCATCCATCCATCCATCCATCCAAACAAACAAATTTCACTCTCTAGTTGCACTCACAAATACAAAAAATTACTTCGCACGCAAAATTTCCGAATACACATGTCAGCTAGGCCGTTGGGTCGCAGTCCTTGCATTTAAGCTGCCATCTGCTTAATACATCTATATAACTCAGAAACCGCACTAAACAAAATTTCCAACAACTACAACTTCTAAAAGAGAAAAAGGGATACGAGAAATGAGAGGGGGCAGAAGTAACAAAAGATAAGAGAGTTTAAGAAAATATATATTGTAGAAAGGGGTGGCTTAATGTTCAAATGTGATATTATATGTGAATGTGCATGAGACTATATACAGTTCCAATCGTCAAGCTTTGTGGTTGAAACAATCAAAACTCAACTACTTTGTTTATCTGAACAGAGAAAGATGGGCGACCAGTACCGGAAAGCGGAGTATCCATTCTCATTACAACTCCCAAGTTCCCAACATTTCCATTCCACTTAGAGCGGCCAAGCTGCAGGGTTGGCAAAACAAGAGCATTAACCAAAAGTATCTGCATATATAACATGCTGTGAAAAAATTACATGGAAAGCAACAGTAAAAATTTAATACTTATGGTTAATGCTGTGAAAGAAATTAACCATAATTCAAATTTTACACAGTCCATTAAATTTTAAGGAGATGATGTAAAGATTTTACAATAAAAAAAAAAATAAAAAAAAGGGATAACAAACCCAAGACAAAGCAATTATCAGATTCAACTACCATGCAGGGCATGGCAAGCATGCAGTAATAGGATGTGAAAAGTACCTACAAACAAGTTATTTGGAAGATTGTTGGAAAATAAAATGTAGACAGCAATAACTTACGGATACTGATGCAGAGGCTGAAGGATGTGCAGTCAAAGCACAACCAAAAATTAGATTGAGATCCTTATTCACCGAGTGAAGAACTTCTGCCCACAACCCTGGATTACTTCCACCAAAAGTGGGGCACAGGCTGACCAGGGGAAATAAAAAGGTAATCCAGTAGTGCCCAAACACACAAGTAAACAGAAACAAGGTGCATATAGAATTATGAAGTAGCAAATAGATGGCTCCATGCACTTGGAGCACAGTTACCAAAAAGAGATGACAATAGGCATGCAAATTGGTTTAGCAATTATAAAGAAAATGTTTTAGTTGCAAAGAACCCCTAAAAATGCTTTCCTAAGCAAACCAAGAAAATAACTTTAAGTAAATCTACATTCAAGACAAGCATTCCTAAGGCTCTAGTGTCATATGAGGGGGAGAAGAGTGACCCTCAGTACATGAAAAAGAAAATGGTTTAGTTGTGAAGAACCCTTAAAAATGCTTTTCCTAAGCAAACCAAGAAAATAACTTTAAGTAAATCTACATTCAAGACAAGCATTCCTAAGGCTCTAGTTTCCTATGAGGGAGGGAAAAGTGACCCTCAATACATGAAAAAGAAAATGTTTTAGTTGCAAAGAACCCCTAAAAATGCATTTCCTAAGCAAACCAAGAAAATAACTTTAAGTAAATCTACATTCAGGACAGGCATTACTAAGGCTCTAGTGTCCTATGAGGGAAGGAAGAGTGACCTTCAGTACATGAAAAAGAATTAAGTCAGTTTGCTGATATCAAAAAAGGGTACAAAAATCAAATATATAGTTGAATAAAGCATGTTATGAGAAGTAACTTATAACCATGTGTTGTTGATGAACTAATAGCCTTTTCCTATTTAAAGATTTAATACAATATGACAAAACAAGACCATTACTTGTTAAGGAACAAAAATACTCAATGGTCAATAAACCAACTATTATTAGTAGGATACTTATCCAAAAGGCAACACTCAATTGATTTGGCTATTTACTTTGACAAGCATTACCTTTTTTGACATACAAACTAACAAATACAAACTATTCAACAAGAAAGTCAAATACTTAAATACTTCTTCTTCTTCATACTTTAGTAAAGGCTTCAAAATCCAAAACTAACAATGCAGTTGATTTTGTTTGACAATCAGCCCATTGAAAATTTCACCTAACAGATTATAGGAAGAGCTGCAAAGTGTAAACCTCTAGTCTAGGACTCATCCTAAGCACTTCTGTCTACCATATAAAAGGACTAGCTAGTGAACAAATACATATTTGTTTTGGGAGTAAGTGAAACAATTCAAAGACCTAATTGTAAACAAAATGAGGTACCTCTATATAGGAGAAGCACCTAAATGCAAGGAGAGGTATCCACAAACTTTTGTAAGGTGCAACTGAACAAAAAGGAGAAGAACCTTACCTGAATTGGATGGTTGGCCTCATCATCAGACCAGATCTCTGCCAAGCCAATGCTTGTGAAAGACCCAGCGTAAAAGATTTGTCTGGAAATTGTACCATTGATGTGATTCGTGTTCCCCACTTATTCTGTTTAAATATCCAAAAAAATAAAATTTTCCACCCAGAGCAATTAGAACCAAAGATTAACCCTAGAATGCTTGACGAAAGCAATTTTTTAACAAGAAGTAGTAAATCCTTTTAATAGCCTGTTAAGCTATGAGAAGTTAATAGCCCTACCTTGCAAGAGAAGCTATATCTCATTTCTCCAGGATATTGGCCCTGAGCTTGAAGAAGGCCCCCACAAAGGGGTAGGAAGGCACTCGTTGTCAGCCCTTCTCCAGACACATATGTCAACTGTCCATTCGGAAATTGCAAATCTACAAATGACTGCATATAGTGAAGTGAAGCTGTTATCTTAGAAAACACCCTAAGAACACAATTTTCTAAACATTTGGTACCTAAAGATAAATAGCACAGAATTTCACATCCATCAGCCTACTCTAGGATGTTCACTCCTAATGAAGATTTACTTTTGATAGGATAATGAATAAAAACAACTCCGACCACCTCTGGTGAATTACACTTTGACAGCAGGAAAAATCAAATTTCAGAAATTCCAGACCTTTTTTAAAAAGTCCAATTCAAATCTATTTCAAGGTGACTATCTGAATCTCCATACTCAATGGCTTTTCTCTTCTTCCAGTTTACATATTCATTATTCAACCAGCTTTATGATTTCATTGATGCTCAACATGTAATGTTATTTCTTTCATTACCAAGGCTCTTTATGCCAAAATGAAAGAACCACCATTGACTCAATAAGACATGTAATACTAGCTGCCAAGGAAGATGACCAGTACATATAAAGTAATAAATGGATCCAATAGTTGTCAACTTACACAAGCTAAAGGATTGAGGCAGATCATAGACATTAACAGCCACCTCCTATGCTTTGACCACACAGCTGGACAAAAAGAGTGCATCCCATTCTGGATATCAAATAAACCACCATGTCAGGGCAGACCAAAGGGAAGAAACATGAAAGATATGATTGCACCATGTAATACTACAGGCAATATAAATTGAACAGAAACATTCTCAGGAGTCTCAGGGAGAAAAGAGAGCAAACAATCAAAAGCAAATAAATACAGGATGCCAGGGGTAAAATTCTATTCAGTATTTTTATACAACCTAGAGAATTTGTAAATAGCAGATCTAGACACATCTTTGGAGTCTAATTCTACCAAATATTTATATTAGAAGCACTGAAACACTTTACGCTCAATCTTTTCCCTTTTTGTTCAGCAAGGCTTCGCAGAATTACATATGATAGAACATTTCAACTTTTTTTTGTCTTTTGTGTTGAATGCATGTGTTGTTTATTCAAATGTCAAGAATAGCTGAGTTTACAAAGAGCACTAATGTTTCTCACACCAAAGAAAAATTAAAATAAGGCACATAACATTCCCAAGAAATTTTCATGTACCTTTCTGTCATAGCCATACCAAAACAAATGTTGCTTTGACAGATGAACTGGCAAAAGAAGTGTTGTATCTCGAAGAAAGAGCACTGGTCCAAGCTGGACAAGGAAGAGGGATGAACTGTCATTTCCTGATGTAGAACCTGCATTTGATGCCTCTACTCTCCATAGATCTCCCCTTGCCACCAAGGAGCTTTCTAAGTTATGTGTTCTACTCTCATAAGTTGAGGAAATGTTTATATGTCCCTACAATCAACCCAAAATAACCATACCCAAGTAAATAAATAAAACATACATAAAACAAACTGAAAAACCTCAGGAAAAAAGAAATAATTATACTAAAACCTCTTCTACCATCTCTGTCCTACAAAAAGTCTATAAATCAGACTCTTATGACTGATAACAAAAATAAATCTGAATGCAATTGGTCATTTCAAAAGGTTACATAGGATGGAATTGCCCTAAAATTAGGAAAGTGCAACCCTTCATTTGGTGCTTCTCATACTGTGTCTCAAAAACTTTACTAGATTGCCGCTTCTAGGAAAAACAGACTAAATCATTAGACCATTCCCAAACATATTCAGCATGTCATCCAAAGAGATAAACCGCTGCTTATTAAGTTAATACTACACCTTTTAACAGAAAAAATAAACTCTAAACCCGACTAAATTTAGTACAGACAAAGCCATGAAACATTTACCTGAGGTGTTCCCAGACATCCAGCAGATGTTAAATTAAACCCTGAAGGTTCGTCATCCACTGATCCATCCGGACCATTATCATTCTGCGCTGCAAACCCGAAATCTCTCAACCGATCAGCAACCGCTCCCAAATCCTCCTTCTCCCCTACACAAACATCAGCCCTTTGGCTCGTCATACTTGAATCCGCCCTAACAGATACCACAGCAATCTCGTCATGCCGAAAAGGCACAGGCAACCTCCTAAATAACTGATGCACCAACCCATTCAAGCACGCCCCGAAATCCGCCCCAACCTGACCAATTCTATTACCAATGTCAAAAATTGCAGAAACCCCATTAATTCCCGACTTATCAATCACAACACCGAAATCTTTCATCACGAAATTCTGGCTCGGAAACTCCAAATCGAAAAGCTTCGCCTTTTGCTGACTTTGCCATGGAAACGAAGGAGGGTTGATGTGAGATTGAATCAAACCAGTAAACCCCTGTGCCAAGCGGTCCGCCAGGTCCTGTCCATGGCGTTGGACCTCCTCCCATGCTTCAAAGGATCTCTCCACTGACATTTGGGTAGAGAACTTAATGACTCATAAGATACTAAGATGAATTTCCAACTACCTAATCGATGCAAAACAGAAACTTTGACACCCTCCGCAAAAATAAAACCCAGAAATCGAGCTTGCAAGCTGTGAAATTATGGTCCCCAGTTCAAAAACTAGAGTGAGGGAGAGAAAAACATTAGGGGTTTGTGAATTTGGGAATGAGAGAGAAGATTCTGAGAGGTGGGTGTGGGAATTTAGCAGAGAAAGGTCGAAGCTTGAAGGTCAGACGTGGGCGTGAGTTGGCGTGGGTGCGTATTTGTGCAGGGGAATCGCACTGTGGCCACGTGTGTGGCGATGGGGGATAGGGATTACGGATCTTTGTTCAGCTTCAGGGGAAAATATCCCTTTGCCTGACCCCGTACTGCACATTCATGTTATCAC